TTCTGGGGGGCGTTGTTGAACATACGAATTCATTGGCCCAAGTTTAGATTTAATCCGCGAACGTAACTGATTTCACAATTCATTCGCTCTTCCCACTTCATATGCGGTCGTCACTGATTTATTCCGCTACAACTCTGGAAAAAGGAGAATCTCAGACACAATACTACACAACCCAGTCCTCAAAGCCTGACGGTATCCTCTAAAATTTCTGATTTTCGAGTTAGCACGAGTTATCACACGCGCGATGAATCGCAATTAGGCCTCGATTTCTTCCTCGATGTCAACCAGTACTAAAGCCCGTGCCCCTGCATTCATCGTAGAGTATCACCTACGAGGCGCAAGTTGTAACACGGAACAAGTCAAAAGCAAAAAACATACCCAACTTGCATCATGCTCGGTGTCCGAATCGAACGGGCACATTCAAGAATTTCTGGCACGAGTACATGAGCTGAATGCGCGGACCACCGCGAGCGAGCTGTTCGTGTTGTAATAAGATGCGATGAGATGACACAGGTTAGATCAGTGATTTTTTACTTGTAAAAATCCGAACAGCGCACCAACGGAAATGAGGAAACGGAAGGGAAACGAAAGCATGCACCTAAACCAGGCCGCTCCCGATTTGAATGAACCTCCCAGCGATGTCTCGCAATCAGATTCCTTGTATCTGAATATATATATTCCCTGAGCTGACGTCGGCTGATATCACCGCAATGCGCGGCTCGCCATTCGAGCACAACACAAAAGTAGACAAAAGGAAATCATCAGAGCAGTCGTCTTGAATCTCGGTATACCGAAACGAAGGGGCACATTCAAGACTTTGTTCAGAGTAACGCCGCGAAGAGTCAATGCGCGGACCATCGCGCGCCGGCTATTTAGGCACCGAGATGAGATGGCAAGGCAAGGCAAGGCAAGGTAGGTAGTTTGAAAGCTTGATCATGACCCACACTCGATGTTAGAGGTCGAGAGAGAATGGAAATAGATAGTCTTAGACCAGAGGTATCGAAGCCGGCGTGGACCACCGCCCTCGAGTCGTGGGTCGGAGTCGTAAGCGGGAGGAACAAGGGTCGGTCGACTCGGTTTTGAGCTCAGAGCAAGCAGCTAGGTATCCCCCACGCTGGCTGAGTGTTCAGTGTGTTGGTTCGAGCGACTAGTTCACCGTAATGGAACGCGGGGACGGTAGACCATTTGCTTTTGAAGTTTTCCGACTCAAAGTCCGATTCTCGACAGAGCCGGGTCCCCACTCCCCGACCCGGAGATAAGTAAGTATTGCTGAGGACAGCGACGCGTGGATGAGGCAGATCAGGGCACAAGGGCGCTGCAGCTTCGTAGCCAGAGCAATAGCCTCTCTACCGACACTCGGCAAAAACCGTAGTTTAGGACCATCCTAAATTGAATGAAAAACTTAAAATTTTGGCAATCAATTAAGTAGGTCCAAAACTGTTACAAAAATGTTAAGTAAATGCCTAACAAAAACTGTTCCAAAACATTGAGTTTCAGCAACAGTTTCTGAAGGTCCGAAACAAAAAGATTCAGACTCACCTAAAGGGCTGCCAAAACGAATCGTTTTGGGAAGGGTTTTGGTCGCACCGAAACAATAAGTTTCGGCAACCAGTTTCGGCGGTGTTGCCGAAACTTTTGATTTCAGTGCTTCCAAAAGGACTTTTGGGGCCGTCTAGAACAATAAGTTTCGGCAACACCGCCGAAACTGTTGCCGAAACTTATTGTTTCGGTGCGACCAAAACCCTTCCAAAACGATTCGTTTTGGCAGCCCTTTAGGTGAGTCTGAATCTTTTTGTTTCGGACCTTCAGAAACTGTTGCTGAAACTCAATGTTTTGGAAACAGTTTTTGTTAGGCATTTACTTAACATTTTTTGTAACAGTTTTGGACCTACTAATTGATTGCCAAAATTTTAAGTTTTTCTTTTGATTTAAGACGGTCTTAAACTACGGCTTTTCCCGAGTGCGAGGGAGGCGGGGACGAGGCAGGCGACCGTGACGCCGCGATGGGGGAGGTGGAAGTCGCTGCACTTTGCACATCTTTGCATTATGATGATCGATTCCGGCACATCGGCCATCAACCGCTCACTGTGCTCTTTCACCTTAACCACGATGTCTTGACGCTGTATGTTGCGAGGGCTCTCTGCGATTTCTCTTTGAATCACCGTGACCAAGTACTTACACTGGGACGGCGGGCTGCCATCCGTATCGCACTCGCTTTGGCATCATCTCAGGCAACATCCACCGCGACCGCTCAACACCGACGCAAAGTGGTATATCACTGGTGGAATTGCTGAAGATTTCAGTCCACTCCAAGAAACGCAGTGACTTTATTTCTGCCTGATCTCCGTTCCTTCTTCAGTTAATCCCCCTTCGATAACTCACTCAAACATGAAGCCGATTTTATCAGCCCTGGTTTCAATTCAATGCCAGCGTCTCGTGGTCAATACGCGAGCGCTCTCTCTCTGTCCTACGTCTGCCGCACCGATTGAAAAAATCTAAAACCACGCTATTTGACGTCCAATATCGAGACCGGCGACACTCGCTTCCCGTAACCATAACTCTGTCACTCGATCTTTGAAGATGCGGTGGATTTCTTCAGAAGAAATTGAGGACTCGAGGGAGAGCGGACATCTTTCCCAGTACTGGAAAAGAGTCTGATTTTACCGTAATTCTTTTCGGTTCTTTCACGACTGCTACATTCGAGGCAACTTCGAGGAAGATGGCATCTGATGCGATCTTTGACATCACGATGAAATTTTCGAACTCCGGCCGTAGGTCCGCTTCTTTCTTTCCCCATCATGGCAAAGCCAAATCCCGTCGATATTCAAGAATTATTGGATCACTGTATCGACTATCTTGCTGGATCGACGCAGGATCTCATCTCATGTTCCCTTGTGGCCCGCACTTGGCTCAACGCCTCGCAATCCAGTCTCTTTCGCGCACCACAGATCACCAACGGTCAGAAGGCACAACAATTCTGCAACGCTCTGTCTGCCAACCCAACCTTGATTCCTCTCGTTCGGGAGCTCGTTGTCGGTCCACGACTTCCAGAACTCAACGATCCGCTCACCATTGGATTCAACAACAACCTAACCGACATCAAATTCACCCATCTCCACGCTCTATCGCTCGACGTGCGATCCGAGCTTCCGTATGAGATCCGGAAGCTCATCGCGCTTCCTACGCTTTGCTACTTGACGCTCGCCACGCGCGGCGCACCCTATGGGTTGTTCCGCTCGTTCGATCTGTGGAGTGAGTGCTCGCCGGGGGTACAGCACCTGGATATGCGTTGCGAGATGGGAATCGAGGAGCCTGGATTCGATGATGACTCACCTCCTTCGGTATGCGAGCCGATTCCTTTGAAATCGCTTGCATTGGCATACTGGCGCGATGACGATCCCGAATTGTCGAAGACTTCGTTGGCGCCTTTCGATCTCTCTCAAATCAAAGCTCTTGCGATCGTTCAAGGCGATCATATCCCGTGGACGTTGTTCTCTACAACGAACGTGACAGTGTTAGCTCTTTATGATCCTGTGCGTGGCAAATTCTCTCAGCAATTTACTTCTGCTGATTCTGAGGCATCAGATTGCAGTCGATAATCTGGCGGAGCTCGACCTCTCCTCATTTCCAAATCTCACCACCCTTCGCTTGCATTTTTCCAATGCAATTCCGCCCGGCATCACTCGCATGTTATCAACCATCTCCTCACAACACATTCAAACTATTTCCTTGATATTTGGAAACGATCCCACGTGGAGGCTATCGACGGAACTCGACGCGGTTCTTGCCTCTCTTCCTCTGGTTTCCCTGCCAACAGTGGAATTAGAAGTAAACGCTTCCACGAAGGAAATTTACCTCGCATTTCCCCTGTTAAGGTCGAAAGATAAGGCGAGCTTTGTTTCCGATTTCTGAGAACTATCGATCTAAAAGGATTGTGTTAGTTGCGTATTCATTCGCCCAGCTATGATCTGAGTCATCGCGAGAAGCATCATCTCTGGTGGAGGGTGTGTTGCGAGCCTTCCTTTCTTGACAGATCGTTTTGGGCTGACTTTCGATTCGATCATCGCAGAATGTCACGAAGCATTTGTAGAGTTTGAGTCAATGAGAACTGTACCTCTTATATGCAAAATTCTTCTAGTTCCTTCTTTCAACGCCATACCAAGGCGAAAAACATCTCTCTATGTATTCTACCGGTAACAATTCCTCCCGACCCATGTCAATTTCATGACCTCTGCGCGCTGAAGGAGCAATCGCTTCGGAATACATTCGAATATTCGAAATTGATTCATCGCAAAAGGTGAGATAAGTATCCCGTTTGAATCTGGCGGCATCAGCGAGCAGGGTTGAGCTCTCGTCTCCGGCCTTTGCACTGTGCTCACAAGTCAGTCAAGGTGAATTTTCTTTCGCGATCGATTGTTAAATTCTCTCTTGTATTCGCTCCGAATCAACATTAACCTGAGGACAAGTTGAGTTCAGTTCAGTGAAATCATAATAAAAAAGTGAATCCCGCGTTCTTGAACCCGTCAAGACTCACCGTCGAAGTATACGTCTCTATCGGCGTGTCACCAGCCAAATGCGAAAGGTCTCATGCTTCAGGCGAAGAACACAGCCTGCCATTAATATTGAACATAAAACTCTTCCATCATAACATCAAACGCGTACACAAACCTCAACAACGCGTCGTTACAATCGATCCGTTTGAATTGCGAGTATCGTAGGCGCTCGGTGTGAGGTAAATCAAGGTGTCAATTGGGAGTACTTACTCATGGGGGCCGGTAGAGATTTTGAGTCGCGGGAGGAAGGTGGGAATGATGAGGAGCGGCTTCGTCCGAGCAGCGTTTTGAATTGACTATGGTCCCGTTCGGGACATTAGGGAACTGTTCTAGGGCTAGTATTGAGCGTTTTCACTGGGAACAGAGACTTGGAGGGAGGCGGAACCAGCGATAATTCCGTGAGAGTCATGCCGCCTCGCGGTAACAATTTTTTGCCATCATTCCAATGCCCGCCTAGCTCAATCGGATAGAGCGTCAGACTCTTACTGTATTGAGGCGGGTATCTGAAGGCTGCGAGTTCGACCCTCGCGGTGGGCTAGCCATCGTTTTGTTCCGTCGTTGCGTTTCATCTAGGAAGTCAAATTTTAGTGTTTCAAGATTTCCATCGATAACGAGCAGTAGCTGACCTCATTTTGTCAGTCTCTTAAAGCATATGACTCTTTCCTCTCCCTCTGACTTTGTAGTGGTCCTACCCGGTCTCGTTAGGCTGACAATACCCTGCCTTTTTCGACAACCTCCGGTCTTTGCTGTGACAGGGCTCAGCCCAGGGCTCCCATCAGATGAATGTGCGTCTTGTTTTCCTCGAAGTTGCCTCCAGTGTTGCTGAACCTAGGATCTACTATTCGCTCAGCACCCATTGTGGGTGGTATTCGACCAGTCGTGAAAGAACCGAACGAATTCAATTACTATATAATCATAAATTTGATTCCAACCGTGGGATAGATCTCTGCTCTTCCCTCTAAGATCTCTCGAGTTCCTCTCACTCCTTTGCTGGAAAAATCCACCGTATCTAAGCCCACCTTTCATCGTACTCAACATTCGCACGGGTCGGTCGTACCAACGCGTTATTTGTATCTATATACGCGTTTGATGCTCCAACGATCGTGACCCCGCATCAGATGCTCGGCGAAATGCTGAATGGCTGTGCTCTTCGCCTTGTCATCCGTTTCCATCTTCCATCTCTGAGGGTCTCTCTTCCGGTCGTACGACCGTCAAGTCTGGAAGATGATTCGCTTCATCCTCGTCCAGGTCCGCCTTGACTCTACCATTCGCTTCACCCCGACCCGTCGAGGCTGATATTTATGTGACGAGCTGTAGAATCGACAAGGCAAGACCCGCTTATCGAAGTGGTACGTTCCGTACGAGGACGACGAAAAGGCAAGCAAGATGTCTTTATTTTCTTCTAATCTTCTTACTTTTCGTTCCTTGCATCTGTTCATCGTAAATTCGGACTGCAACGCTTATGAGACTCTTGTCCAGGTCCGTCTCCGTGGGAAGTCCACCGGCTCGTCAGCGCGAGGGACCAGCGGTATCAATCGAATTTCGTCGAGGTAGAGTTCGCTTTCATACTCTCTTCCGCGTATTTGAATCTCGGTTCATCCTTGAACTCTGTGGGATAGTTCCGCAACTACAAGATAGTCTACCGCCGATACGCCGGCCTCTTCTTCTGCATCTGCGTCGACGCAAACGATAACGAGCTCGCATACCTCGAAGCGATTCACTTCTTCGGAAGTACTGGGTACATTCATTTTATTCTCATCTACTGGTTCTCGAGCGATACTTATAATACCCCCACAGATAACTACTTCGAGAACGTCAACGAGCTCGATCTCGTGTTCAACTTCTACAAGGTTCGTCTCTATTCCATTCTATTCTATCTCATTCATCATTTATCATTAACGGACATCTCGTTCTCATGCCGCCTTTGATTGAAGGTCTACGCAATTCTAGACGAAATATTCTTGGCGGGGAAATACAGGAAACGAGTAAAGATGTCGTTTTGTTGCGGTTGGAGCAGCTTGAGAAGTTGGAATAGGCGTGTGGCGTATGGAGTATGGGACGTTGGGTTATTTTCGTTTTCGCTATACCCGCTTACTTACATCTTACCTGTTTACAGTACATAGAAGACTTCGAGTTCGCCTTCTGTACTGATATTAATCATCTCACTTCGGAACGGAACTCGTCGACGCTCTGCATTGTTATCCCCCCTGCAGGGATAGCATCAACGTACTCTGAATTCCGACACCCTCAAGTTGCCCTCGAGAGGTAAGCTCTCCTAGTTTCCTGCTGGTGGAATGCCGAACAATCGATCTGATTGCGCTTCACCCCAGCAGGTGAACGCACGCGTCTGGAACGAGGCAATTAGACGCGTAACCTATCTTGATTCTTCAAACAGGAGAACTGACGCAAACGCCTTTTTGAGATATCGACTGATAGGGAAGCACATTTCGTTTTTAGGTGGCAACGAAGCCTCTTTCTAACGGCTGAATAACGCAAGATGTTGCTCAACCAAAGCACTCGCGCAAGCGAGCATACTCCAAGCAGGGGCTTATATACGAATGCAGCGCGCCGTACTGCCCATTCTCATGACACTATCGGTACCACAACAACCTTTCGTGCTCTATCTCTCTGACTCCGACAATTTCGCGCAGTCTCAACATCATCGGACGTAGGGGGGCAACGAATCGCCGCCCCTTTCAATCCACATACGCGCTGCCAAAAACAGCTAACCTCATGCATTCTCTTCCCTAGAATTCTAATTCCCTAGAATTCTAAAGAATTCTAGCGGCAGACAAACGCGAATTTAAAATATTGATCACTTGAGCTCCCACGGCCCACGCAAGCAAACAGGGACTTAAGATACTTAGGATTAATGCACCGGTACCCCCCATTCTCGCTATCGTTACTGCAACAACAAACTGGATTAATTCGTCGACTCGCGACGTCGTTCGGATTCCCCTCGCGACGTAGGGGGATGGGTGATTCACATATGCATATGCGCGAGAGCACTACATACCAAAAGCCATACCTCCGGCGTATTCCCTTCACCCAGAGGAGAAAGAAGCAAAACAAACGAACGTGGTTCAGCCCGGGGGGGGCCTCCTGTGTGCTGATTCGTCTCTTCAATGTACATGTGAGACAGACGTGAGAAACCAAACTACACTACTGAACCTCAACTCAGCAGTGCACGGCGCGAGAGAGCATGGTATATTCGGGGTGAAGACGAGACCGAGATGGAGGTGGTATGGTGAACAAAAGGGCTGAAATGGTACTTACCTTACAATCTAAGTAGCTTTGTTTACATAATTGAAAATGTTTTTCGGAAAACGCGCGATGATTGATTCAGTATTGATGGATCCCCGAATCAAAACAGTTCATTCATTCTTCTTCTAAACTTCGATTCGCCTCACAACTCGAACTGCAAAGTATGTACATATTACTATAGGGCACGTCGCACTGATTGCGCAAGGTTGAACGAGGCGGACTTGTCGCACCCAGTGACTGAAACAATTATACTGCCCCATGGCCATCGAGTGCGCAGCTTGCTACATACAGTCGGTTTCGAATTCGGACTTATTATTCTTTGATTTTGATCATACCTCGATGCAACAGATTCCGACTGTCTGTTCCCTTCTTTCCCGAAAGATCCTAGGAGCCGTCGCTGCCTCAACATCGGACGAGCGCTAGATTCGTCCAGTGTGCTCTTTGTCGACCTCAGCCAACATCGATCGGCTAAGATCCCAAATATTCGACACAGGATTAATATTGCGGTAACAAGTGTGACTCAATCGATACTCTCTGCAGTATGCACCTTTCGGGGACAATTTACTTACTGCCTGAGTTCAAGTTGGCGAAACAAAGCAATATCAGTGGTATTATTACTTAGCAGCTTGGCTATGGCCATGGCAATCTGAAGTGCTATTTTCCCTGCTTGGGCTACTAGTATCTTGCCTATTAAGTGATTTGTTCAACCGGGGACACGCTGAACGCGTTAATTCGACCGCGTTGTTGTGGTCTGTGTACGTGATTGATGTTCACCGTGACGTACTAGTACTCATATCAACCATCAAACCCTCCTCTTCCTTCCCTTCCCAACCCACCACAATCATCTCGAGCCATGCGACGACAGAACCCGAAATTCAGGAACTCTTGGACATCTGCATCGGCCCAATCGCTGCACTCTACCACCGTCCACCGACCCTCCTTGCCTGCTCTCTAGTTGCTCGTTTATGGATGAATTCCGCCCAACCTCATCATCTACTACTTACTCCGGTCGCCAGAATTCACCCACAGGCGATCGCGACAAATTCCTTCAGTTGTGATCCAACCAAACGCGTCGAGCAATTCCACAATGCACTCGCGCCTCCCGCACCTAGTTCACCACATTCGCCAGCTACGTCTCCCCTCGGGAACCCCAAATGCTCGAGAAATTGTTCAGCATTTATCAACTTCCCCACCTTGCAAACTCTAGCTCTTCGCGAGTCGCCACAACCGAACCCCAGAAATTCGAACATCTAATGATCCCGCAGCCCGGTCTCAAGCATTTCAGAGGCTGTTACGCATATACGCTGCGCGTGGGTATGTGGGTGTAGATGCTACTGGCCTCCGACGCCCCATACTGTATTCCCTTCGAGCTATCCGAGGTGGAGGCTTTGTACTCGACTCCTCTGATGTGACGGTGCGTTTATGCTCGTCTTTCCTTCTGAACACTCGCTGCTATAATTACAGAAGCAAACACCCACACTCGACCTTCCCAAGATCGTTCCCGCCCTCCGTATCCTGCGCATCACCGACAGATATGCCAATAGCATCCCACCGATGTTACTTAAATCCCACTCTCGCGTTAACTCTCACACAATGCAAGCGGCTTCAAACTTCATACTTATCCGGCAGCATGCAGCCTTCAACACGATCATTATTATCGCCAAGTGCCACTGCCAGCTTGATGGCGTGCTCGAGGACGCTTTCGGTGGTTGAGTTTGAGTTTGCCTATGTGATAAGGGTACCGCTTTCCGAGGTTGGTTGGGTTGGGGTGGGAGAAGGTGACCGATAGCGCGTCGTCTTGCGTATTCTGAGAATGATTGTCTCTCTCTTTTTCTGTGGGTAGTTTCGCACTGTCTGGGTTGGGTTAAAAATTCCGGGGAGTCGCATGTGGATAAGCGATGGCGGGTGAGTGGATGCATTTTTCTGCTGTCTGGTGAGATTTAGCTCACATTCTTGGTAGGAGTTGGTGGATGGGTTGTGATTTATTTTTTGGATGTGTTGGCACGTTGCATTGTAGCGAGTCCGAAACCTGTTCTTCACTTGCGAGTGAAGCTCAGAGCGGGCTTGTTTGTTTCTTTTCCCTTCCAATGTGGGATTGATCCCCGTTTCGCTCAAAAGTTTGCACATTCTCAAATCTGCCGCTCAGAGAACATAGTCCCAACGATCGATTTGGGAGTAGAAGCAAGGCTGAGAGGATTGAAATATTAATGAGTCAGGTTTCTTTCTTTTCTTTTGTCTGGAATAATGGCAGTTGAAGAGTTTTCCATCGTAAT